TGTAATTGTACTAAGTTTTTGAAATTGTGTACTAATCTTTTTAATATTATAGGGTATTCTGAAAGTGAACCAAAAGAGCCTTATACACATCCTAGTTTTTCTACTGAATCAAGTCACTTTAGGGCTCAAATAAGAAAAACTCAATTTATAAATCCAAGTGTTAATAACTATAGTTTTCAAAATATAAGTGGGGAATGAATGCTAAGTGAAGAAATAAAATGATTTAGTGAAATTGTACATATAAAGAGAATTGAACTTATTAAGATGAAACCAATTAACAAGATAGCATGAGATATTTGGCATCCAATACCTATAACATATAAAGAGGTGAATCTTCAAAAGACTGAAAGTTCTTTAAAAAAATCAGAAATTTTATCTATTATTAACTCTTTAATTTCTTCTTTAAGTGATTCTGATCATTCGTGTTTCTGGCACTTGTTGAATAAATCCTATAATGAATTAATAAATATTCTTCGAGAGATTAGAAGTGTGTTGAATAAAAATATCATTAAAATTAGTAATGAAGAATAAATGGGTAGTGTGGTTTTGGTTAAATTTTGTAATTTTGTAATTGTTAAAATGTATAATTTTATATTTATAATAAAAAATTAATATTTTAAAAGAATCAGTTTTTTTTAAATATTTTTAATAAATTATTTAAAAATTTTTATTAAATCTTTATTAATACATTTTACTTCTGTATTCTTAAATTATATCCTACTATTGATTTAATCTCTTATTATTATAGTATTACTATTAAACCACAAAATATATTTAAACATTTCTTGGATAAGACATGAATTCTATACAGCCTATATTCAATTCAACACGCTTATATACAGATACTGAAAGATATACAATTGTAGTGAGACTGCTACAAAGAATTATATATAGAACAGTAAAATTATTTTACCTTTGTTAATTCATTTACTTTGATACTATAATAAAAACCTGTTTTGAATTGAAGCCTAATTACAGTAATAATCATTATACTCCTCTACTCTAATCAATGTAAAGAATATCTCTTATGAATGATCAGTATTAACTAATAATAACAATACAGTAACAGAAAAATAATACTGTTAGTAAGATTATCAACAAGACAGCAAGAGTTATAAAAAATGATCACCTAGGTACTTCGGCACTTGCTTAAAACTGAGCCTGACAATACTAATCTAGTAATTCATTCTGGATAATAATATTGATTACCGATTGTAAAACTCAAAGGCTTAAGCTAGTTAAGCCTTATACTGTAGTAGTTTCGATATTAGGTTGATATTTTTTAACTCTTAAATTGCTACACAATAGGATATGATCTTGTAAATGAGTAGCCTGAAACCCATATATAAGTACACACAAGTAAATTTTTTGTATTAGCAATAATTAGATAGCAATCAGCATAATATTAGAACAACGCTGTAGTTATATGTATATACGCATGTGCTTTTATTGCATTAAAATTCAAAAGTTTTATTGTATTATTGTTTAATAAAGTAATATAGTAATAACATTAAAACTGTAAAAAAATCATATACTATATGCTCTTAATTTGATTGGTCAATCATTGTAGTATGTAGAATAATCTGAAATAAAGTCTAGAATCATCCAAATGATAATTATTGCTAAATTGGATGTGATTATCAATCACCAAATTTTGAAAAATTCCTGAATGTAATAAGAGTACAATTAGCCACACATACAACTTTTGGTTATCTTTTTTAAGTAGTTTATCTAGGTTTTATACTAGCTACCACACCTGCAATCTAACTAGAAGATTTTTATTTAAGCTTTTTGGTTTTTTTTTTACAAATAAAAGTATAACTAACTATACTTGCAACTTTTAGCTGCTTATTTAAATAGTCTGCTCTAGATTTTACACTAAATGCTATACCTGCAATCCAACTAGAAAATTATCTATTTAAATTCTTTGGTCACAACTAGCCTGTCATTTCTTGTCTAACCAAAATATAACTTACTATTTATAGCTAGATTTTGTGCTACCTATAGATTTTACACTCTATCTAGGACTACTTTATTTTTGAGATAAACTTAACAGAGTAATATATATTCTATGCATGTATTTACTTGTGTATTTAGTAACTTCTTTCTAACTAGTACCTGTTATATTGCTGCCACTAGATTTGTAACTAAAGCTAACTTTTAGAATACTACCATAACCTAATCCATATCTGTCACATAGTTTTCAAAGAGCACTTATATCTAATAAAAGGTATACAAGTAGATAATAAATTGAATAATGAATTGAAAAGTGAAAGGGTAGAATGAAAATGTCAATCAAATGAAATTTGTGATCATGTGATCAATCAGAGTTATGGAGGGAATCAGGATCAGGTACAATAGTACTGTGATCGCCAAATGCATGAATATAATGATTAGTTAGAGAATAATTAAAAGTTTAATAGATTAATGATAAAGAAATAGTTAAAAGTATAGTACAAACTATGTAATTGTTAGAATTAGATAAATAATAAATGAAAAATAAAGAAATATAGTTAGTCTCTTTGACTAGAAATTGAGTAAGCATTGTTATAAAGTAAATACTAACACAGCTGAAGTGCACTGTGTGTTGTATAGTGTGTATCTCAAGTAGTGATTTGAACTGAGAAAAAGTTCCATAATCAGTTAACTAAACTGAATTATTTCATTCATCTGGTTGCAAACCGGTTAAGATTAATATTTCTACTACTGTACTACCTTCAAATTTTTGTCTCAACCTTTATGTTCATTCATTTTCTTTTTGGAACTTTTCAGAATATTTATTATTATACTATATCAACCTGCCAACTGATTACCTAATTCTCAACCATCAATTGATTAAGAACTTCCTTCGGTTCAGGTTGATTGACCAATTATAGCCTAGCCGATTACCCAATTTTTAACTGGTTGTATTAGGTCAACCGATTAAGAATTTCCTCAACTGGTTAGCCAAAATTTATTTAGTTCAGGTTGATTAACCGATTATAGCCCAACCAATTCAAGTCACTAGTTTCAAGTGCCAAGCAAGATTTAAATTAAATCAAAGCCATCTGGGCCAGATAGCAGTCACTATGGTAATTGCCTAACTCTTTGAAAAAGAAGAATCTGAATAAGCAAAGTACTCTCGCAATATTAAAGTTCAGACGAAATGGTCAAAAGACTCAAGAAGTGGTAAAACATATAAGAACAATAATTTATAAGAATCATTAAAATATAAGAACAATAGTTAATAAGAAACATTAATAAGAACAATAATTAATACGAAACATTAATAAGAACAATAATTAATAAGAAATGTTGATAAATAAGGACAGTAAAAAATAAGAACATAATACTTAAAGTATATTAATACAAACTTATTAAGGATATGATCGGCCATGTCAACACAAGACTTCACCAAACCGTTTTACTATGATAATGAAAATAAAGACATAGAGGATTTCCTCTTTGAATTCGAAATATATGCTAAATTAAAACAATGAGATGACAACAAGAAGAAGGTCATTGGGCTCCATGTTGCTAGCAAAGCGAGAGTATGGGTATATGAGTTGATGAAAAAGGCAAATACCTGGGCGGATCTAAAAACTGAAATGAAAAAGACTGCAA